TCAAGTGGATCAGGGATGAGCGCTGGTCACCATTACCTTTTCCTAGGACTTTTAGCATTTTCTCCACCCACCCATAGTCCAATTGCTCGTGTAAATCTCGGAGGCATGTTTGTAGTTAAGAGCATCAATACCATCTCGACACAATTCTATCTCGCCCCTTGTGACAGTTTTGATCATTCCTGTCATTTTTTATCTGATTACCTTGCTCGACAAGTTCATATCTTCCACTCTGAGTTTGTAAGCAGATAATAAGAACCTCTGGTATAAGTAAAGCGTATTGGTGCCATACTCTGAGAATTTCTCTAATAATGCTTAATGGATTCGCCCAAGAATATGGTGCTTACTGCAACACCACCTCTTTTTGCCAGTTCTGGTCCGCTAAAGAGGATGTCTGCATTGTTTTATCTATTTCTCTTTCTGTGTTGGATTGCGCCATATAAATTGTGTTGTTGCAGCTTCTCGTACTATTGTGCCACCAAATGGTAAATCCCCTTCACTGTTTTTAACCAGGTCAAGGAATGATGATGACTCACTCTCACTATGAACTCCCTCGTTATGGGGCAATATCTGGAACGTCCAAATGTTTTGATAGTGGTGAACAATCCGGATTAGGTTCCACATTAGTGCAGCATTGGTTTGTTAATTTTGGACCTTGAATAGGGGCGGAATTTGGTAGAGCTTAAAGCCCATCATCAAGCTCTTTCCTACAATCGAAATTCCTCCCTGCCTGCTTTTCTATCAGTGTATGCAGTAAACTTATGATTTTGGCAAAGCCATTAACCAAACGTCAGTAGAACCTGCCAATTATAGGAAACGACAGAACCCTGTCTAACTGGCCAGTGTTAGTCAGATCCTCTTTTGCTTCACGCGGCCTTCAAAAATTGCTACTTGGTACGACGAGGTAGTATATCTCGAGGAGATGGTCAGGAGTTGCAGAGTTCGGCATGTTTTTGGGTTTCGAATTATATCTGAGTCTCATATGCGGCCCATTACAAATTCAAGATTAATATTATGCCCACAAATATCCCTACCGAAGACATAAATGTCATCCTAGCGAACTACGCAGTATTTCAGGAACAATTCGATTTGCGCAGTCCGCGTAAGCGCTGCATTGCAGATACTCAAGCAGCATTTATTGGGATTCAGTGCAAAATTTGTCCTTTTTCTACCCATTTTGCCACTTCTAATTACCAGTATCCTAATCCCAAGTCTAATGTAGATGGGCACTCTAACCCACGTAGATTGTCTGTCAAATGGCCTACGCGGCGAAGTGGGAAAGCAACCAACTTTGGCACTGCATTCAGCATTCCGCAGTATATGCACAGTCCTAGACTTTCATCCTTTTTTACCAAAGCGTATAATTTTGCTTACGATGACTTTAAAAGGCTTATAATCTCCCCCCATCATTTCTTTACCAAGATGATTCACTTCTAGCAGAAAAGGTTGCGCGCATCTGGGTCGCTTTCAGATCAGTCACGAGTCGACAGCGATGCTATGCATGTTATGCTTAGCGTAACGCCTTGCTATGAGAATGTTTTCATATTTAAGCACCAGTTATTCTCAGTAACATGGTAAAGCCAAGCGTAGGGGCCACCTAGGCTATTCACAGATACAGTTGCAGCTTCGAATAGGGCATTACGAATATCGTCGAAGTCTGCCTTTGATAGAGAATGGACTGTCGAGGCTTCAGTTTCTTGGTGTATAACAGAGATGTTTTTCAAAAAAGCTTAGGACCTCAATAGTGCTACATAGGAAACCGTCTCCAAGATTGACGTCTTAAGGCAATTCCACAGACGTGGAATATTTTACTATCCAGGTGTACTAGTCTATGATGTCTTACCACTGCCACTCTTCTTGGATGGATAAATGGCCGAATAGCTGTCCGAATCCAACTAAGTTTGACTACAGAGTGTCCGGTTTAATGTAGATGGTGGTGCTGGTTTCTCCAAAGCCTGATGACTTGAGCCGCAATTAATCGCCATTTTCCTGCCATTTTCATCACTTTCCATTTCTTTCAAGTCCTTCTTCATTCTCTTCTTTTTCTTCTCTAGACGAATCTATGAAATTG